AAATAAAAATTTCACAATATATAATTAAAAAAAAAAAAAAGAGGGGTTGGTCTAATTGTTTCAAAGTGAGGGCAAATTTAAATAACACTAATGGGTAAGTGGGAATTGTCCATAAGTGAGACATTCACGATTCGGAGACTGCCTATAAATTAATGGCACACAAAGCAAGCAGAGGAACATGAAATATCTTTTGTGAAGCTTGCTGGATCCTATGTTAAACAAACTACTGTTTATACTCAAATATAAACCAAGTTTTTCCAGCATACTTAAAAAAAAAATCATTTTATTGAAGGCCCATACAACTCTTACCACAATTCATATATAACATGCATTGTGTCAAGCAAATTTGTTGCCATCATCATTCGCAAAAACATTTGCTTTCTACTTGAGCCCTTGGTATCAGCTCATTTTGGCCCCTCATTCCCTGTACCCCCCATGAACCCTTGATAATTAATACATTGTTATTATTTTGTCATGTCTTACACGTCCGATGTCTCCCTTCACCCACTTTTCTGTTGTCCATCCCCCAGGGAGAGGGTTATATGCAGATCTTTGTAATTGGTTTCTTCTTTCACCCTACCTTCCCTATACCCTCCAGGTATCTCCATTCTCACCACTGGTTCTGAAGGGATCACCCATCCTGGATTCCCTGTGTTTCCAGTTCCTATCTGTACCAGTGTACATTCTCTGGTGTAGCCAGATTTGTAAGGTAGAACTGGGATCATGATAGTGCGGGGAGGGAAAGGAAGCATTTAAGAACGAGAGGAAAGTTGTATGTTTCATTCCAGCACATTTTTTAATACAGTTTTTGTGGTAAAATTAGGTGCCTCGGCTGATATTTGGGTCGGCTTATACTCAAGCATATACGGTAACTGTAAAAGGTACTCTCCTCTTTGAGGGTAATATGACTAGGTTCATCTTGAAATTATTAATTTGTTTGGATACAATATGGTTATTTTTTAATATTATCTTTTCTGGATGCATAATCAAATACATAATGGTAAAATAACTGAGAAAAAGGACACATGAAGTGTGACTAAATCGTTTTAACATTCATGTTGAGTTAAATAATGGGAACACATTGTACTAGTCTTTTATATATGCTTGAACTTGTTCATAATAGGAAAAAGCTTAAAAAATATTCAATGGATTACTTGCTTTAAACTTTTATGCCATTAGTGGAAAACCTCATAAACTTTATTAAGGATTATGGACCTAATAATTATGTTTCGGGCTTTAAATGGATGATTCTAGAAAATACCTCTGTCAAAAGAGATGAAGTATCTTGGGTAATTTAAACTTCAATAAAACATCTATTTATTCCTTAAACTTTGTGAGTGGGAATGTATAATTTAGTAAATCAAAATAAGTCATTCAGAGAAAGAGTCCGTGAATACAATTAATTTGACAAAACAACTTGAGTTAAAAACATGACAGGTGACCCTTGAATAACATGGGAGTAGGGGTACTGACTTCTTATGCAGTCAAAAATCACTGTATAATTTACAGTTGACACCTGAATAACATGGGTTTGAACTGGTCTTACATAAATGCAGATTTCTTTTTCTTATTGCTATTGAGGTGAGTGAGCTCCAGGGTGTGAACATCAGCTTAAAATGTTGTGTGACTAACCATCTCTGGCTGAGTAGCAGTAACTGTTGGCGGGAGGCGGGGGTGGGGGTGTCTGTGTATAAATGCACCCACACAGTTCAAACTCATGTTGTTCAAGTTAGCCGTACTTTTGACTCAGAAATTAAATTTTATGGTGGGAGGGAATAAAAGGTTATTTAAATAAACAAGGGGTTGAAAAGTAGATCATGATTTTAAACATAAATATATCTCATAATAAAGGCTTAAATGAATGCAAGAAGGGTCCAGATAATCTATAAGTCTGTGATCCTTTATGTTTGCTTTCACTATATCATGAGCAATACTTTGCATGCATCTCAACAATCCCAAACATCTCAGTATACTTCCAACTATGGCCTATTATGTCTACTAAGGTTCGGTGTTATTCAGCTTGGGATTTTTTCACTTAGCTGTCACTCACTCAAGCTCACTAATCAGTTAGGAGAAGACTTACACTGGTCACTCGACGGTAGATCTGCGCAGCATTTTGGCACTCTGAGTAAGGGTATTCAGATGTGGCCATCTCAAGCATACACATCCCAAAAGCATAAACGTCAACAGATTCATCATATTTCTCCTCATACATCTCGGGGGCCATGAACTCTGGGGTACCTAAAATTAAAAGAATGATTCAGACTAAATGGGAGAAGCTGCAGTCATTACTCACCATGAGAAGCAGAAGAACTGATCTGTGAGAGAAAAGAAAGTGGAAGGGGAAAAAAAGAAAGAGAAAAGGAGAGACAAAAGAGAGGAAGTCTTCTTAGTCCGTCTGGTTCCACCAACTATCAGCTGGATCTTCCACACCAAGGTCTTTATAAGAAATTAGAACTGAGTCAAGTGTTTATTTATGGTTTTAAACGGATTTCTACAACACAATGTTGAAATAGAGCCTTGGATAAGAGATAAGCCAAAATAACTCCTATTAAAAACCAAAAGAAAAGAGACTAACAAAAAATAAAGTAAATCTAATGGAATTAACCTGTACAATAAGATGCTACCGTAGGTTGAAAAAAGCTCAAAATACCTGACTGCCCCCTACTGTATGTAACATTTACTGCTAGTCTTTTGCCATTGATGTTCTATCCCAATCAGTTACACTTTTAAAGATGATTTGCAGTAAATGATTAAGGTTTAAAATATATTAAAACAACATGTAAATGACTATAAAGTCACTCACCAGAGCCCTTTTCTTCACATACTTACCATCCCACCTGCAATACACAAAAGGCTACTTCAAATACAAGAAATAAAGTGAGGAACATCCTACAAAAGAGGTAATATATGTGCACACACACTGCACTTAAATTACAGAGACTGAATTATAAGTACAATATGTGTGAAACCACAAAATCAGGTTTTGCAATGTTCCCTGCAAAATTAAGGTGTATGTTTCAAATTATAGGCATTCCCAAGCAAGTTCGCAGGCTCTGATTTAAAAACAGAAAAAAAGATAAAATTCTTTTGGGTCAGAGATTTTAAGATGTCAAGGATAATTTTAAAAGATCTATCTACAAGGAAAGCAAAAAGTAAATTTAGCTTTAAAGTAATTCTTCCTAATTTTCTTCTTTATTTAAGAAAACACAAAAACAGTATTACAAATTCAAGTTGCATAATTCCAAGATCCATGTTTTATAAAGATATTCAAGTCATTAATGTTTTAGGCTTTCCTTTTCTATTAAAACTTAGCATTTTAATCTACTTTAAAATCCAGGGATTTTTTTGGAGGGGTTGCTATAATTATTTGGGGGAAGAGGAGTAGAGATTTGTGAAGATTTCAAGCTTTTAAATTATACTTTCATTTAGAAAATCCAAGTTTTTCAAATTAATTAATTAATTTGCACGAGATTATTTTCCGCGTTACTACTCTCAGTACATAGTACATAGCTGAAGGACCCCTAGTGACATAGTGTTTACACATTGGGCAGTTAATTGCAAGGTTAGCAGTTTGAAACTAGCAGCTGCTACTCGGTGGGAGAAAAATGAGGCCTCTTCCTGTAAAAGAATTACAGTCTCAAAAACTCACGGGGGCATTTTCTACCCTGTCCTACAGGGTCACAATAAGTCAGAATTGACTCCATGGCAGGGATCTGGTTTGAGTATACAGTTGAGGAGTCCTGGTGGAAAGTTAAGTGCTCAGCAACTAACAGAAAAGTCAGAGGTTTGAATACACTAGCCACTCAGGTAGAGAAAGACAGAGCGGTTTGCATCTGACTGCCTTAGTACTCTTATGGGGCAGTTCTAGAAATTAAAATACACTCAACTTCAATGGGTTATACCAGTGGTTTAATACAGTTCCTTATGTTGTGGTGACCCCCCAACCATAAAATTATTTCTGTTGCTACTTAACTGTAATTTTGCTACTGTTATAAATTGTAATGTAAATATCTGATATGCAGGATGTATTTTCTTTTCTTTTAATCATTTTAAAGGATGTATTTTCATTGTTACAAATTGAACAAATTAAAGTATAGTGATTAATTACAAAACAATATGTAATTATATACTGTGAAATATTTATGTGTTTTCCCATGGTCTTAGGCAACCCGTGAAAGAGTCATTCGACCCCAAAGGGGTTGCGATCCATAGGTTGAGAATCGCTCTGGTATACATAGTTCTAAGTCTGAAAGGATAGTCCTAATCTATAGATCAGTGATTCTATTTACAAGGTGTGATTTTGCTTCCCCTGGGACATTTGGCATTAGCTGGAAACATCTGTGATTACCAGTGGGGGAGATAGTAGATGGTAAGCTACTGGTGGGTAGAGGCCAGGGATGATGCTAACTATCTAACAAGGCAAAGCAGTCCTCCAACAAAGATATGTTAAGCCTAAATTGTCAGTATTACCACAGTTGAGGAATTCTGTTGTAGATAATGAACTTATATTTTTCACACCAGTGCACAAAATTTTAAGAGGCAGACATTCTTACATATACACATATATTGAACAACCCTTTTAGAAACTACATTATATATGAATTTCATTTCTTTTAGAAGGGAAATAAGATACCATATTTTTAAAGAGTTCTTCCTATCAAGTATCAATGAATTATTCAATAACACTGATCACTACCATTAGGTTCTGTCAATAAAGCTGTCCTTTTCCTTTCTATGTAACTATATAAAACATCAATTCTGCATGATTCTAGAAGGATAAATATGGAAAACTCCACATAAATCTCATCTTACTGATCACTTCCTGGTTTCAAACTAAGATTTTTTTGAGGGTTTATTTTACTTATAAAAATTCAGAGATGAAAAAAAAATTAAGAGAAGGCCTGGTTTCTAAATAATAAGACTCCTGGTGCGAAGGCCTGTCAGGCTCCAAGTTACACTTCAAACATACCTATCACACTCTTGGCAAAAGAAGCCCGCTTCAGAGTTGCCAGACCTAGGTCTCCAATTTTGACTGAGCCTGTAGGGCCAGTGATAAAGATGTTGTCACACTTCAGATCGCGGTGAATAATAGGTGGGGTTCTAGTATGAAGAAACTGAAGTCCTTTAAGGATCTGACGGCACCAGCTTCTTAGGACTTTGATTTTCATCACTTTAAACCTTTTCAGGTACCTAGAGGGGAAAAAAGGGGCACGGTTCATCAAACAGGTTTTCATTCTAAGACATCTGAATTGGGATTATCGAATTTAGAAAATTAAAATTCGGTAAACTTCAAAGTTAGTGATACTTTTAACAAGGTTAAAGGGACTGAGATAGTGTCTCACTCACACACACACACACACACACACACCCCTCTATTAAGGGATTCAGAGAAAATAAGTTTCCCAAATACTTTTTATTAAAAAAATGGGTTCAAGTTGGTTGTATCAGAAATAGCAGTACAAATACTTCACAGTAGAAAATATTTAATTAAGTACTTGATTAACTGATAATGAAGAAAAAATGAATTCCTTGAAATTAGATCCTAACTAAAGTGATTAAAGGTTAATTGGTGGTGCTGTGCCTTTTGGTATATGAGTAGATCATACTGGAAGCAGATATAACTATTTCAAACTCTAAGCAAAAATGTACTAAACTATGAATTGGAATAGAGTCAATGGCAATGGGTATAATCTTATCTGTTCACATCTCTACCTATATACCAATTTGCCTGCACCCCATGTATACTCAAACACTTTTACGTTGGTATAACTGTACTTACAATCATCTTTGGTACTGGTTTTTCCTATCACCAAAATAACAAGTCTACACCAGTCACAACCTCATCTACTCTGATACCAGAAGGACTAAATGGTGCTCAGCTCCCACCACTGACTGTTCTAAGGGGCCACAATAGTTGGTCCAGATAATATGAAACATACTTAAACCAAAAAATTATATAAAACTCTGCATTGAGTCAATTTAGACTCGTAACAGTCCTAAGAGCAGAGGAGAACTGGCCCTGTGAGTTTCCAAGGCTGTAAATCTTCCTAGAAGCTGGCTGTCATCTTTTTCCTGCAGAGTGGCTGGTGAGTTCAAGCTGCTGACTACAGTTAGCAGCCCCTGCACTACCAGAGCTCCTTAAAAAGCTAGCGGAACTAAAATAAAATTCTACTTGGGAAGATCAGGGGAAAAAATCAGTGGCAAAAGTTGGTTTTGTGGTTTGAAAGATAACCAGAGTACTAACACCTGAGGGTAAGGGAAGGGCATTTTCTGAGGTAATGGAAATGTTCTGAGATATTTGTGTTTCAATAGACAATGAATTCTATCAAATTCATCAAACTGTTAACTTATGATTGACCTATGCTTTTGTTGCATGAAAATTTTACTGTAAGAAAAAAAGAACACAAATATTCATTGATATTGATAGAATACATATTGATAAGCATACTAAGGTGTTTATGGATGAAACATTATGGTATTTGCAACCTATTTTGGAATTCTAAGAGGAATGGTAAGATGGACAGATATGGTAAAGCATATTTATCAAAAGGTAATAATTATAGAATATTTTCTATATAAATTTTTAAATAGACTCTCCCACTGCCTCACTCTCACTCACTCACTGCCTCACTGTCTCACTCACTGCCTCACTGTCTCACTCACTCACTGTCTCACTCTCACTGCCTAAAAAAGAAAAAAAAATTTTTTTTTAAATAATAAAATGTCAGAGAAAAGGTTAAGTGGCTAACTTACTGCATTTGTTTCTATCTATAAGAGAAGATATAATTAAAAATTTTTTTCATACTAACCTTAAATAATGATATAAAATTGATTAGTTTCATAGATTCTATATGGTTTTCTATGTAAAAACTTATACTGCTGTATTCCTCAACTGTGTCAGTCCTCTCCCCATTTCCACTCTAGGGTCCATATTGCCTTTCCTCTGGATTCTCTATTCATTCCTGTCTTCTCATCTTTGCTTTAGGGAAAATGCCATCCTTTGGTTTTCTTTTTTTATGGGCCAGTGGCCATTACTTCTTAAAAATTGATTAATTGGGAGTTAATACATATATCACATCTTTTTATAGTTCAATCGTCCTCTGGTTTTTTTGTAACACATTTTGATCTCTTAGAACATGTTCCTCTCAGGTGTGATTATCTATTTTATAGGGCTGTCTATTGCTTCACTAAATGGTGGATCTCTACGAATGGATTTAGTTCCAGGTCAGAATGGTTTCTAAGGCTCATGGGGGTTCCTCCATCTCTGTCAGACTAGTAAGTCTGTTTGCATTTGTGAATTTGAGTTTTTACTCTACCCTTTTCTACTGCTCAGTCAGCATGGTAGTGGCAGCCAGGCACAATCTAATTTAGGGGGGCCTGAAGTGTGTATTTCATGTGGTTCATTAGACTTTGAACTAATTGCTGCCTTGAGTCTTTGTGTTTTTTCATCTTCCAAACAAAAACAGTTTTATTCTTCTTTACCAGTTTTAATATCTTTTATAATTTTATCCTGTTTTTATGCCTTATTACTGTGTCTGGTATCACTGTTTTTTTCTTTTTAAGTCATCTTACTGGGAACATTATCCAGAGTTGGGTATGACATTAAACCCAAACCCAAACTCACTGGCATCAAGTCAACTTTGACTCACAGAGACCCAACAGGACAGGGTAGCACATCCCCAGTGGGTTTCCAAGACTGTAAATCTCAATGGGAGTAGTAAGTGGTTGGTGGGTTTGAACTGATGACCCAATGCATAAGATCCCAATGCATAATCCACTATGCCACCAGGCCTATAGGTTTCTCATGGTTACTGTGTATTAATGATGTTTTCTACAATTCCTGGCTAACAATTTTTAATTATGAATAAATATTTAATTTTTATAATCATTTCTGTATCTACTGAAGTGACATTTTTTTCTTTTATTCTGTTAATGTGGTGAATTACATGATTCATTCGATAAACCAACCTTACAATCCTAGGATACAGTTAAGACTTGATTACAAATGCGCAATTTAAAATATCTGATAAAGTATTTTGTTAAAACATTTGCATCGGAGTGGAAAAAATAAAGAAATAAAATATTTGCAGCTATATTCATGATGCAAATTGGCCTGGCCCTTTTTTTAAAATCGTTTTATTAGGGGCTCATACAACTCATCAATTGTGTAAAGTGCATATGTACATTCATTGCCTTCATCATTCTCAAAACATTTCCTCTCCACTTAAGCCCCAAGCATTAGGTCCTCATTTTTCCCCTCCCTCCCCGCCCGCTCCCCTCTCCCTCATGAGCCCTTGATAATTTATAAATTATTATTTTGTCATATCTTGCCCTGAACGACGTCTCCCTTCACCCACTTTTCTGTTGTCCATCCCTTTCCTAGGTCCCTTCCCCCCTTCCCCACCCGACCGGTTTTAGTATTAGTGCTGTGCTGGCTTCATAAAATAAACTGATCACTGACCCACCCATTTCTTTAGTTTTTTTAATGAGCATCGACTGCATCAGGGATTATCTATCTATCTATATCTCGGATATTACTCAATTGCACCTACATTTAATACTCATAGTGAATCTGTGTAGGGGTGCCAAAACTTTAATCTTTATAGGAGCAGATAGGTTCATCTTTCTTCAGAGAATTGGCAGGTGGGTTTTAATTGTCCATTTTGAGGCTAGCAGTCCAATGCCTCACTTATTCACTGCCATCGAGTTGACTCCAACTCATAGTGACCCAAAGGTCAGGGTAGATGGGAGTAGAACGCTTCGTCTCTCTCCCTCAGAGAAGCTGGTGGTTTCTAATTGTGGGACCTGTGGTTAGTAGCCTAGCAAAAACCACTAATCCACCAATGCGTAGTAACTTTAAATCCATTACTGTCTGATTGTTTTCAACTCATAGCAACTATGGGGCCTTATATGACAGAGTAGAACTGGCTTATAGGGTGTCCAAGGGTACAAATCTTTACTGAGGAAGATTGTCACTTTTTTGCCTTTGGAATGCATGGTGGGTTCGAACCTCTGACCTTTTGGTTAGTAGTCAAGCACTTTAACCAGGACGCTATGAGTGTTCTTACCAAGTATTATCCCTATTATATTAATAAGGATAGTGAACCCACAGCCATACAGCTATTCCAAAATAAAAGCTTGGACTGCTAACATTGACCAACTATCCTATCGCTCTTGTATACATTATTGTTACTGTTAATTAGCGACAAATCAGGTCCTGGCTCATGTGCAGAGTAGAAATGATCCAGAGCACTTCCAAGGCTGTGACAGTTCAGAGTACAGTGCTTAATCATCTGTGTTTTCCACACTACCATTAGACAATTCTTTCCAAAGGATTATTAGCATAGAATTAACAGAGCAGATATTCAATGTTTTCCGACTCAATTTAACACATTGTATCACAGCTAGATCATAATCAAAACCTTCAAATATAAGTATCTCAAGGTCTTCTTTAAACCAAATCGCTGATCTTAATTAGTTTTAAAAAAAGTCTGCCTTAAGCATGTGCTTTTGTGTAAAAAGACTCATAGTAATCCTATCACACAACAGAACAAATGGCCTAGTTCTGCACCATCTTCACAACCTGTTTGAGTCCACTATATATATATGGGATCAAATTGACAACATTAATTCTATTGATGGGAAACTTCGAAAACTTTGGGAGCAGTGAGAAGATAAAGCCAGAAAAAGAGGGCGAAAATGGTTGTAAACTTAAGGAATGTAATCATTATCACTAAATTGTATGTATAGAAATTATTAAATTGGTGTGTGTCTGCTGTATAAATTTTCAACAAAAGTATTTTTAAAAACACGGGGGAAAAAACCTCACGTGCTTTCCTATTACTTTTAAATTAAGAGCAAGAACTAATCTTTTATACTGTATTCAAAACTCTCCACATTGTTTCCCTAGCTTATCTACTAAAGGAGGGGTGAGGGACATCCGGCTCATGGCCCTTTAAAGCCTGCTAAATCATTTGGTCTGGGCTTGCCAAGGCAACAGCAGGCAGGACTAAAATTGAGTAAATTAAGCTTTTTTCATAGCAACACAAATTAATAGTGAGTGAATCATCGTAATATATATTTTGAGGACAGACAAGGAATGTCCATTAGAGGATATGCAGGATGTAAGTACATGATGGGAAAGACACGTATGTCTCTTGTCTGCCGCCCATGGATCACCAACCTGTAGT